GGTCTTTTCCAACCTAAACGATTCTATGATTCTATGTCTCAATCAGGCCAATGCTATTTTTGTGGTTTGTATTGTAATAGTGGGTACTGTATAAACTCAAAGGAGTTACACAGTTAAAGGGTGCACACATCAGGGATAGCTAGATCATTTTAGCAACATTACCCTTTCATCAGAAGAATGGTTTAAGATTAATCAGTCTTGCATAATGCTTTTTAAAAATCTTAAATTTCATTCAAACCACTCTTAATTATTGTTTTAGTAGGAATAATATAAATTTGTAAAGCTATCCTCAAAACTCCAAGCTTTGTTCTCACCAAGATAATTTTTAATATGATCACGTTTAAAATCTCCAGAATATAATAGAAAATAGTGCTTTATTGTTGAATCCACCTACAGAAGTTTAAATAATCACAATTTTTTGAAATGTTCTGCATTTTAGAGTTTGTTTTACAAGAGCTGGTAAACTTCATTCTTGGGGGGCACAGGGCGGGGGCAGACACTGGAATAGAAATTCCTACAAATGCAATGGGCAAAAAAAGGAGAAAGCTTTCAATTCATTTAGCTACTCTATATGTATTTTATAGAAAGACATGATGCGTTGGAATGCCAGGACCTTGTGTTATATGTATTGGCCTTGACCCACAGCAGATCTCTTACTGAGCTGCCAGCGATCCTGCTTTGACTTTATTTTAGCAAGACAAATCTGATAAGGGTTCGGCAGATGTTGCTTTTGATACTAAAAAACCCTATGATGATCACTTTTTTTTCAAGTTTTGTCCTGTTCACAGAATGTTTTACTTACATTTTACAATACTAGAAAAACAACAAGCTATCTAAAATATCAAATTCTAAGGAATTTTCAGTTACCGATGGACAAGAAAATACATATAACGCCTAGACTAATTCCTACACTTACACCTGTAAGAATCTAGATTCTTCATCATCACTGTCCCCCCTTCTAATGTAAAAAACACAGGCATCAAATGAGATACCCAGGTTTGAAATTACTTAAGCTGTGCAGAAGCTCCACAGTAAGCGTACCCTAAGAGAGTTTCCCTTCAGCATTACCTTAATAAGACAACACTCTAAGGTGCAGAGAGGTAGATATAGAAAATGATGCTAGCTACAATAAATTTGGAAGCAATAGGTTTCTTTGCATGTGACACTTCTGAGCAAGAAAAGGTTTCATTAAGATGTACACGTACGTCAAGAGCCACAGACTGTTTTGCCCAAGATTTCTTCACTTGGTCATACATAATTGTGTTGTTGATACCCAGGCCACAAAAAATAACAAAAGCCTAAAATTAAAAAGAGAAAAAAGAAAAGAAAGTCAATTATAATTCAATTATAATACAAACACAACAATGAATGCTGGCTTAATCATGAAAAGGAATTGCACGGAAATATTAGGAATAATCGTGCTTAGACAGGTTATCTTGAAAATGGAGTTAAGTCACTGGCCCCAACAAGATGAGAAAGATCAGATGCAAGAAACTTGTTTTAATTAGGATGCAACCTTATTAAGTGAGGAGTTCTGAGAATTAATGTCAAACCACAAATACGGACAACATATTCTTCCCCCCTCCCTAGAGTAGGCTGAAGCAGCATTACCC